CGTTGACGTGATTCAAATAATCTGGGCAAAGCCCAGGCTTTGTGAAAGTGGTATGAAAATGTGACGATCAACCGCAATGAAGTGATCAAACTTCCACCTCTGTGTTTCTACGGACTTATGGCCAGTAACTAAATGGGAAATACCCTCCATCACTGGGTTTGTTTGGGTAATGGCATCATACAAGTTTTGGTTCAAATCCACATGTTTGTTTGTCAAACATGGTTTTGTAATAGCAACAACCGTCTTTGCGAATGCATACATGATTTGCGGCCTATACCCACATCAATCTTCAAGATTTCCTGGACACAGGCAACCAACGCCCAACATGCAACGAACAATTGGCAGTTTAAATCAGGATTCATGTCCAGCAATACTATAGAGATTGTTTTTAAGTATCCTCAACTAATAAGGATGTAGGGTACCTCTTAATCTAATGGTCTATCATATGTTTATGCCGTAAGATCTTTGGGTGTACCCCAAGTTCAGGAGAAATCAAAATTATTGCTGGTGATGTCCCACGGTGTCCCTTTTGCGGCCGGTATTGAACCACCAAGAATCAATATCCCTTTTGCATATATATCCACGTGATTGCCCGCCAACACTTTAAAACCTATGTCTGCACAATTTCAAGACGCGGCATACCGTGGATGGCATCCACATTTGTCACAGCTGCGGTTGCATTCAAACCCAAGTTACCACACTATGTATTTCCAATTATTTCCATGTATTCCCCGAAAGAACCTATCATATTCCCACAACATGCCCTCGATATTCTGAACATTTCTGATTGAATTAAACATGATTTGTCAAATAAAACCTAATATTGTTGATTGATATTGGTTATATTTCGTTACATCCGCGTCATATCCCATCATATTGTCATTATGGTCGAATTTATTATGATTATATTTAGAATAATGAGATTAATTGATTATTGAGTGGATACCATCATTTTGATGATTAAATCGCTCTGCTCCCATTTTTGGGGTCCAAACAGATTTTTCGAACTAAAAAGGTTTCCATAAAATGATTGAACATATATAGTTGGTCCATAAGTAGGGATGATATTTCAGTGCTTTTCAGTGTATCTCCATGATCTCCCGAAGATATCCTCAGAGCTCACCAGCTACGCCATGTTCTCAGGTCCCAGCTCCCAACTGGAGCGTTGGAACCGCCACGCTGGTGCTTGCACCGAAGCGAAGTGAATGATGTGGGCAGCCTCGGTTTTGGATTGGTCAGGTGGGAAACTTTACCAGTCTTGTGTGTCATTGTTACAGCATTTGTGATGCATAATTCATCATAATTCCCAAAAAGAGATTCATGGCCAACAAATATCCCTGCTATGTTTGGATGAGCATATCCCTTGATCCAATCATTCCCCTTCCCACTGCGCACAACATTCAGAGTAAGTAAGTATAGGTTTCTAATACACATTGGTCGGATTCGGTCATGAATGGGATCACCTCGGGAATCATGGACTTGCTGACCACGCAATGTTTAAGCTTTGTCAATGGATCATCAGTCCTTGACGGGGTCATATCTCGATTTTGAGGTTGATTAAATACCTCCATGGTCAACTCGCATTGTTTCTTGATATATTTCCCCTACAAATGGGGATTGCCCGTATCAGCTTCGAAGTCAAAACACAATATGTTTGATACCCAGTGCTCAAACCGAAGCTTATGTTTTCTCAAACTTCAGACATTGTTTTTTCTCTGCGAGACATGTCAAAGCGATTGTGTTGGTTTTGTTGCCACAAGGGGTTTTGCATCTAAAGACATCTAAACTCAAGATCAGTCCGTGCGGTGCAGGTCGGATAATATAATATATATATATATACATATACATATACTGTATATACATGTAAACGGTGGATTTCCCAACCGGCAAGCTGAGTTTCCAACGACCCCCCCCTTCGACATGCCATGGTGCGCAGCGATTGCTGTGGCCTTCGCCAGCCACGCCTGGCGCGGAAGCGATGCAGCTTATGGAGCCTGCGACTTCGAGGAAGTGACGCGGGAGTTTGTAGAGAGTTCCTTGGTACCCTATAGTTACTATAGTTAATAGATGTCAATAGAGATGGAGTTTGGTCAATAGTTATGAACTGGATTATTGGGATTGTTCATAGTGTATGCTTGATGGGATGATTGCTAATAGATGTTAATAGTTGTGGACTGGATCATTCCCCCCATTCCCTACTGAGCATCAGCAAGTATAGGGTGCATGGGATATGACCAGCCAACATAAAAGCCCCAAAGTCAACGAACTTGAACAAGTTATGTGATGTTATAGTAATGTTATATGTGTGGCATATGACCAACCACCCAATATAAAACCACCAGTCACATGGGAGTGTAATATCAAGTATAAAAAACAACAGTGGGATTGTAATGGTGCTTTGAGGGATTTAACATGACATAAGCTATAGAAACCTGTTCACTATAATGGGATATGACTCTGTGATTAACCTATCAAACTTGTTTTCAGTCATGAGGTTAATGGGTGGTTCACAGTATAACGGTCTTTCGTAGTGGTGGTTTGTGCTTTGGCCCCACTGGGATACAACTGACATTGACTCACCATCCAAAATAGGCGAGCTTGATGGGGTATAAAACCAACACTGTGGGAACTGGAACCTTATAGAATATTCCTGGGATGCCATGCGATGCAACTAACCACCAACCAAAAATGGGAGTATGCACAGTATGGACAATTTATTTCGGAATATCATTGGAGAATTACATCCCTAACCAACAAAATGACCGGTTTTGTGCCCAAAGTTTGGAACAACAAATCAACAAACCTTTTGAAAATCATGTTCTAAATGAAAGCAGCAATGTTGGGGATATTGCCGAACTCTGGACAAACCCAAAGACCAGATGTTCTGCATGGAATGGATGGCAGATTGATTTAGTATTTGTTGCAGTCAGCGTACACGTTGCTTGTATATCTTTGATTATCTATGATTCATTGTGGCCATTTTCTGGAGACAACAGTTTGGAAACTATTTGTGTGTATAGACAATTTACCATACCAAACATGGAGCCGAGGGATTATGGGACGGAATGTTTGGTATAGTAACCGAACATTGATTCAACATGCAATGAACGGTTTGAATGTGTCGTTTGGTAAAAGGCAGGGTTTTCCGGGGGTTTCCACGTGCTACGTCTGTTTGCGGAGGGTAATCCCTAAAGTTTCGATCCATGGTTTGCAACTGGGGGTTGCGTAATCAACAAGTTTGGAACAAAAACGGGGTTTCAACTAGTTTCAACATTTTGCAACTGCTGCATCATCACTCTGTACAAGTGGGATCATGTGGGAACATACTTACACCCACATCGCGAACCACCAGCAGCGAGCATTCCCGAAGGTTGTTAAAGGTGAATGACCATCCCAGTTGCCCAAGTGGTTCATAAACATGGTAGATGTAAGTCACTGGTTTGCTGAGCTGACATCACACTTGCAACTGGTGACCAGAGCTGATCACCATCACCATTTCTGTTGGTTCAACAGTTCAACCCCCCATATTTTGTAGGTTATAGTTCTAGAACCCATACACGTATCCCAGTGTTGTTGGTGAATCTCCCGCAGTCTACATTTGGAATGCACATCCAAGTGACCAACGTATCGCCTCGGACCTTCAAAGGTCAAGCGAGCGTCTTATCGGATTTGCCTGGGCCTGTGATTCTGCGAGGGGCCTTCAAGGTGGGTCTTTGGGTCAAACATGAATGGACGGTTCAGTACTTCATAGTACTTCAACCTTTTGCTATACATGGGAATTTACTAACCACCTAAGGAACATTGTGTTGCAGCGTTTTCAACATTAGCCATGTTTGTTAGCAACATCATCTAATACAAATCATGGATTTTCCGAATTTCCATTGCCAGGTGAGAGAACCAGAGGGTAAGTGGGTGATTCAAACACCGTCCATTTTGTTGTGCCACTGCCGGGATTCCATAATATTTTGGGGATCAAACATATCACAGGCAGAGCAAAGGAATGCAAAGACTATGTCCAGTGACTATGTCATTGTATATATATATATATACATACCCATTATGGGCTGCAATTTACTTGCTGCATCATTGTAGTCTTGTGGTAAACCCGAAAATCAACACCAATTTTGGGAGGTTATAAAATGTTGTTACCCAAAAACTCAATGGCGAAGTGGGGGAAGTTGACAAACGTTGGGTACGTCAGGAGCTGCTTCCGCGGGCAGAGAAGAGTTCCTTCCTGCGACGCTTCAGCAACGAAGCTTCAGCACAGAAATGGATTCGCTGTGAATATTTTGGTGGCTTTGGGTTTATAGAAACCCCAAAGATGTTTTGCTTTTGCTTTGTTGGTTTCCAACTTCGGAAGGTTTGTGTCAAAGGTGATAACCTACTGCACCAAAAGAAGTAATTAAAGAAGTAGATATTAATAAGTTTGTTCTATCAGCTTGTGAACAATACCCTGGTTGGTAGTCTCAAAGGCTAGTTAGGGCTTATTGTCTACCAACAATGTGGGTAGAACCTGCCAAATTCAGGCGGAGACTTTATAGCCCGTAATTTTTTGTTGGTAAGTTTCGGATACTGGTTGCTGCTGCCTTCCTTTGTGGTATAAATGTGCCAATTGATGAACTCAGGCCACCACACAGTTCATGTCAAGCAAACAAAAAGTGCTTACTATTGAAATCTATTGTAGCTGAGTCCATTTTCAGACTCAGAAGAACCCCTGTTTATGTTGCGGTTTTAACGCAATCTGTCAGGGTTTAGTACTCCATCTTCAAAACTTGGCATGCGGGTGCGCCGAGGAAACAGTGCTGCTGACACGGAATGTGGAGTTCCAAAGCATGACAGGCACCAAACCAGATGCTCGGACTCGGTCGCAAGGCTCGGCCATCGAAAGTTTGCCGTCCTTGAAAGGAGGTACCAATGATGTAGTTTTCTGCTGTTTGATAGTGCATTGATAGACAAAGATGGAGGATAAATAGGGATCTAACAACTATACAATCTCCCTATCCACAGGGGAATCGGCCTGTGCTTGTGTTTTTCGATTTCATTTTTACAAGTCCATGGCAGGCTCAAGACAATCTTTTGGATTGCAAGTGGTCCAACGTGTCAAAACGCTGCCATTTAGAGCGTACTCTTCCTTGGATACTTCAATACCTTTTAACATCTTTTTAACGCATTTTGACAGTTCCAGCCTTTTCACTCCAACCTGACGACCTGTATCAGCCTGTATCCTGATGTGTTTTCCCAAAGGTTCCACAGGTGTTCGCAAGTGCCATCGGTTTTTCATGGTTTTCCCTCGAAATCCGATGGCCCAAATTAGGAAAGTTTCAGCGCCAGCATTGGAGACTGGGTCAATTCCTGGGACTCCCACAGTAGCATCCGCGCCCTGGATGTGGAAAAGCCGGGGGTTTTGGGGGGTTTACCCATGGATGAAACTTGGAAACCCGAGGAAAATGATCTACCTACGTTGGTTTACCTTAGAGTAAATTGGGTTCACCAGACATTGGGATTTCACCAATGATTCATGGGTAAATCTCAAATGGGGTACTGTATGTGGGGAGATACCTGGTATAACGGCTGTCACCAACAATGAATTTATATGTTTTGTGTCAAATCATGCCTGAAATTTGAATGATAGAATACAGGATGAGCTCAGGAGGAGCACACCGGTCTCCAACAGGGTTTGATGAAAGCAATCCGCATGGGGGTTACACAGGTTGAATGCTTGTTGTGAAACAAGTCTTGGCACTCGGTTGCTAAAAGGGCAGGTGCTTCCAATGATGATGTTTCACTAGAAGGCAATATACACACCCTGTAGATGGCATTATTTGCTTCTCAGGCCTTTGTTCAGGATGAGGATACTGTTGGGTTTTGTTGGATCATTGGTTTTCCAATCTACCCAGTTCAGCGCCAGCACAAAGGTTACCTTTTCTCCTTTCTGCACGATAGTGTGCACCACCACTTGCAACAAAGATTGCTGGAGGCCAGACTCTTTCGTAGGGGACAGTGACAGAGGTGACTGCACAATCCTAAGGCAGGGAACCCCCAGAAATACATCAGCAGTTCCTTGTAAGATTTGGTAAGGAGAGATGCTCGTAATGATCTTCATATCATGTTTCATCATGTTTCTATCCATCAGGTAAGGTACTTTGCTGAATTCGTTATAAACTATTTCTTAATTTGCGAAAGATTTGCGAGAGTGAGATACCATGAGGCATATTGTTTGCAGATACAATATAGTGTTTGCCGTTTGTTGAAACAAATGTGTCACGAAAGTAGTTTTTGGTTGGCGAAGAATAGTGATTTTCCGGGTGAAATGATTTTGATCAACAACCACATGCACGCAAGTGTTGTAGTTCCATGTGGAAACGCGCATGGTACCATTTCATCCAAACTAATTGTGTCCATGCATGCGGCATCAGTTTTGGTATGGCTCTTCTGCATATGATTTGATTTGGTTTAAACCATCCGCTCAACACATGTTTTGAAGCTTTCCATGTGCATTTTCCACATTGACTGGTTAACCATCATGTAATTAGTATCATAATTTTCTCTACCAAATGGCCCTTTTCTGCCACATGTCACAAGGTTTTCCCTATCCCGGATTTTCTGCAAAAGCACAGCGTGAGCAGTCGGCCTGGGAACTCAGGGGGCTGCCAATGGCCCTTTCTGTGCTGAAAATGCAGCTGGAAATATTTGTCTACGCAGGAAATAGTATTAAATTTCACGAGCTCCTGGGATTTTGTGATTTTTAGGGAATATTGGATATCAAGGTCAAGATGCAATATTTGGTGCAGTGTACGCGCACAAGGGTCGCACGAAAAAACTTAAGCGTCATGGTTTGCACGGGTTTGCACTGGATCAGCCTTCCATAAATGGAATTGGTCCAATTAATCGTTCAGAAAAAATGAAACGGTCGGAAACGGTCGGAAAGCAGTCGGAAACATGATCAGGCCAAAACTTGTCCAACCCGCATTTCTTAAAAAAAACATTTCCGCGCAACGCAGTTTTTTTTTTGAAGGTCCAAAGGTGTCCAAGGGGAAACGGTTGGAAACAGTCGGAGATCGCACCTTCGCTCCTTGATATCCAATATTCCCTAAAAATCACAAAATCCCAGGAGCTCGTGAAATTGAATAGGAAATAGATAGAAGCCTTTACAATCCTCTACATATTTTTGAAGTATGCTGATTGTCCCATGACACAGACACGCAAGGTTAAGACTGTTCTGAGCAGAGTTTTGTGTGCTGACACGAACCCAAACATCGGAGACCGGAATGCAAGACCTTGTAGTGGAATGCCTTTGGCTTCTGGATCCCTCCCTTCAAAATTTCGGAAGACCAACGGACTGCCCAAGGACTCCAATTGTGCATTTGTTCAGTTTGCATCTGAAAAGTTCGACCCATACACTAGGATACATCAGGTATATGTCTGGTTGGTGGTTTGGAACAGGTTTTTGTTTTTCCGTATATATTGGGAATAGTAACCCCAACTGACTTTCATATTTTTCAGAGGGGTGGCTCAACCACCAACCAGATGGTGATGATTTTGTGATATTTTGTGTGTCACAATTGCTGAACCTGACAACTTCACCATGGCTAGGTTCATGGTGCTGGGTTCCAAGACCAAAGGTGTCTTGTCTTCTTTGATCCTTGTCGGTTCGGTGCAGAAGCTGTCCACATTTAAAACATTGAAATCTTCGGGTGAATATGAAGACAGCACATGGAAATGGGGATATATACACAATATACAATGATATACATACATATATATATATGTATATATAATGGTATATATAATGGTATATATATATAATGGTATATATAATGGTGTACATAATGGTATATATAATGGTATATATAATGGCATATATCATGGTATATATAATGAATATAAAATCAATATATCATGATATATATATAATAATATAACTTAATATAATATAATATATGTTGAAATGTGGTGGATGTTTCCATCTGACTCATCTTTAACCATCTCAAGTCCATGAATCGAACGGACACTCGACCGTCATTTGGGTTCGTCAGAAAATGGGGCATGCCCCAATTTTTGTTAACAGGAAACATTGATGAACCGTAGCGTTATAGGGGTAACCCATTTTTGCACACCTGTAATTATATCATTTTATTTCATCCAATTTCCATGATCTATGTGTCAATCCCCAAGTGAAATCCTTCCCTGCTTCCATTCACAGAGGTGTCGCGTTGCATCAGCACTTCATGAGTTGGTTGGGGCTCTTGGCGGGAGCCAAGCGCTGGTACCTTGCTGCATGGTGGGAGCAGTGAAGAAGGGCAATCATTTGGCAACAATACTGTATTGATTTGTATTTAGTATCTAGATAGACCAGGATGTACCTGTATCATACAGAAGTGGCTTTGTAATAAATCTTTGCTGTCCATTCCACTTTTTGGAAAACGAACCACGGAGAAATGCAAAATGATTGAGAGTTCTGGGAAGACTCAAAGCCAACAGTTCGCAACAAATGGAGGTATACCTAAGTTCATGGTGATATAGCCTGAAAACAGAATGAAATTGGTTCCAGAGAAGAAATCACCTGAATGATGCATTTGGGGATGTGCCACATTGTTCCTATCCTGCTCCCTCCACGACACATCAGAATGCTGTGTATGATATGATCATATATGTGTGCATGAATGTATGCTTAGATCCTCATATGTATATATAAGCATATATATATATATGTGCAACCATATATGCTTGCAGTATATATATATATATACACAGTATATACATCCGTATGTTGGTTTAAGTATATATATGTATGATTTATCATTATCAATTAATTATTATTGTTGTTATGACTTTTATTAATAACAACTAATTCTAATATGATATAATTTAATATGTATATACATACAGTCTATGTGCATATATAATCGTCCCATCCTTCCAGCTTAGCCAAACCATTCCCAGCCGGCACAGGTTGGTCTTCCCCCCACGGCTGTCAACGGAGCTGGAAGACTTTGCACATCTCCATCAGCCGCAAGAGGAACTGGCGAAGATTCCAGGTGACGGGGATGAGCTGGAAATGGTTGGTGGATGGGGAATGGATGTTGGTTAGGTTGGACTTGATGGAAACATATGGAGGAGTTTACATCATGAATGATATCCTACTAGAATCTTAGAATCTACTAGATATGACATGTTTTCCCAGGGCTATGTTAATCGGCCCTCCATCATATGCGGGATACTTGGACGCCGGACGCTGCTTCCAGGCGCAGTGAGCTGTGTGCAGCAGGAGGGCGATGTGGTGATTTTGCCCGGTGGATGGTGGCACGATCCTTGGCAGCACGTAGCCGCATAGCAATTTCTTGCTAGACAAAAACAAATTGTTTACTAGTTGTTTATTGACCTGGCCGCTGGATGAATATGATGAATTCTACGATTCTAGGCGATCCTAAGAGGCAAACCATGTCCCTTAGGCAAACTTAGTGTTTACATGTGTTCACTGCTCTTCTTGGCACTGGTTCATCGCCACATGTTTGCTGATCACTATCCCAAACCATGTCCCGTTCTCTCCGCATGCGGATCAGCCAGGCCACCTACGACCGGAAGGAATGGACCTTGGGCCTCGGTGCGCAGCAGCGACTCAGCAACATGAGAAACCGATTTTGGACACAACAAAATGGGATTATTGTGTGTAAAATGATGTAAATATGTGATAATATGTGTAAATCGATATCCCCACAAGATCCCACAAGTAACAATCCCCTTAAATGGTGAGTTCCAAGCAGATTTTGGGGATCTAGATGGATATACAACATATTTCGGGATGAGCGGGTGAACTGACTCCCAGACATGAATGTTTCATACCTATCAAACTTGTGAGGTTAAGTCACAGACATGTGGCAGCAAAATGATAAATGCTGTAACCTACGAAGGGGTGTCTTGATCCTCCCAGAAATTTTGATGAGGTTATAGTTTCTCATATGTTCCTTTATTTCGGAGGTTTTTGCTGATCGGAGTTGCATTACCCTGGATCATGGAGGGAGCCATGGACAAAATGCAGTACTGCTGGGACACGTGCAATCGGAGGCCTTACTTCGCATGGTTATCATTCTCGAGCAGTCACCAAGTTAGGATGATTTGGGGCATGGATATGATGGAAACATCCGATGTCGGGGCAGATGTCGCTTATGAAGATCAGACCCAGCCATTTGAGATGGCCAAATCCCAGGTATAATCCCAACGACGACGAACAGCACTACGCAGCTTCCATTGGCAATGTGAGCTTTTTGAAGAAGGCGTGACCTGGTCGCCGGTCTGCAGTCTTTGAGAATGAAGATATATGAAGATGGTTGTGTGGCTAGCAATGATGTTTTTTTGTTCCCCGATGGAAGGAGATGGTTGGAGGTTGGAAGGGTTCGATAAGCCATTAGCCGTTGATAAGGATAGCATACCTTTCCTGCGTGGTGGATCCTTTGGCTTTTGCAAGGTGAAGGCCACCAATGCCTTGCTGAAGCAAGCTGCTGAATATGGACCGCGATTTCTGCACTTCATTTAGGAAAATTACGTTTGCACAGTCAGGATTGACGCGAGTTGGCTTTTGAAACGGCTAGCCACTAGCAAGCAGGAAAAATGTCACTCTCGGGTTCAGCTTTTTGACATCCTTTGAACAGAATTGGATGTTGAGATCCTTGTTTTGCACTTAAACTGGTGTTTGGAGGCCATAGAAGTTTTTCAGGGGATTTAAAAACATTGAAAAACATGCTTTGTTGTTTGAATGTCCTGACAGGACACACAGAAGTAGCTTGGTTGCATTTGGGCCTCCCAAAAGCCAAATACAGGCAGTGTAAGATTGAACATGATGGTGAAGATGTTTGTTTTTTGAGTCAACAGCAGCTAACTAGTTGATCAATAAATTTGGATTCGCCAGACTGCACCATAATGCACCATTTAAGTCCATTTCATGGAACACTTGACCGCGAAAGGAATTACAGTTGGGTATTTGTACATTGTTGGTTGATGTTGGTTGTTAATATCTGCGTTTGTATAGGTTGTTTTGCTGAACTTTTTGTTGGTTGTTTCGTTTCTTTGTTGTCGAATGTCCAATGCCGATAGATTCTATTCCCACCTTTGGAGATATTCCTTATCAATTGATGGTGAAAGCTTCATGTGGCCGTGGCGCAGAAATTCCGTCCCAGCCGGCAACCACCAGATTTAGTCATTTCAACTGTTGCTATATGTTGCTATACAATCCATAAAACTGGATACATTAGAACGACCTGCAACGTCACTGGAATGATTATTAGTAGGCTATATCTATATAACTATATATATATAGACAACAATGTTTCAGGTTGGTGAATTATTGTGAATTACGAATTATCCAGATACAGATAAATAAAGCATCAAGGTGTGGTGATCCCCACCTCCATATCTTCGACTCAAGTGATGTTGAATTCCAGGCCATCCCAGCCATCACAGGCGGTGCAGCTTCTCTTGAAGGCTCCATTGGAGGATACCTTGCACACGGCTTGTCACAAGGTGAGGCCCTGCGGGTGATCAGAGACTCATTTGGAAGTGGTGGATTTAGAATGATTTAGATGGGATATGATTAGGACATTTTGGAAATGTGGTAAAGATTTCGGGTTGGTGAAATATGATCCTTTAAATTCATTTGATATACTTGATCAGGGTGAACGCCGCACGGCAAACCTTAAGTCTCTCTGCCAGGGCCACGTGCCAGTGGTCAACCTCTTGCTGGCACACAAAGCAGTTCCTTGGTTGCCTTGCCAGTTGCTGGGATGATGAACATTTAGAAACAACGTTCTCCGGTGGTTTGGAAGCCGAAAGCACCAACAAAAAAAAACTTCTTCTATTTGCTTATAGGATCTTGTAGATTCTTAGAGGCTTTATTTCTTTTCGCCAATCTTGAGTGTTTCAATACTCAAAAGTCACCTGGTTGGTTTCACATACATCACATCTTCAAACATGTTCCATCCAATACATGGTATAGATTGGAGGACTTCCATGTTTGGGATCTATATGGTGGATATATATATATATATCCATGTGAAGGAATAGGTTATTCCATCACCGGGATGATCCCCAGTTTCTTCCCATAGGTCCCGTTGAACAGGAGCTGAACCGCCTGGACGACCTGGGGGAGCGTGCCATCAATGCGGCCGTCATGGCCGGGCACAGCCAGGTGGTCCCTGGTCCTGGGTTAGTGACGGTTAGTGTTTGGATGGCATGACCTTTGACCTATTGACCCATCATTGGGATTCATTGGGACCATTGTGTTCCGGTGGCAATCCCCGATGTTCGCTACCATCCGAGCGATATTGTCTGTGTCCACCGGCAGCAATACTAATTATTAATAATTAATTTACTGGCCCCTTACAGATACTCACCAGTCAGCAACGCATTTTTCTTAGTAGCATGAGGTCTGTGCATTTTGTCCGGCAATTCCAGAATAGACTGCACCGTCTCAAATTCTGGACCACGCCAACTGAATCAGACAACAAATCAGTGTTTCGAGGAGTTTCCACCTGTCATGGGCCACAGCTGAAACTCTGCTGGGACAGCAACTTTGGCTCTCGAATTCCTGTGCTTAGCAGTGCTTCCCGTTCACATCAAGCTGGTGGTTGAAATCATGGCTCCAAGCCATCAGAAAATATCTTGACGCCGAGAGACAATTTGCACACCGGCGGTCCCAAAATAAGTGCATCTGGATTTCCCAAGATTTACTTCAACATGTTCTCCCAGACCCATGATGAACTTCGAATCACTCGAGCGCCATGGTCGCCCAGAGCCGCAAAGCACGTTTGGAGTGGCAGCTTGACAGATATTGATATTGACAATGCTTGGAGGGACAGGCGTTTTTGCTAGAGCATCGAAAATGCATGAAAATGCTTGACTCAGACCATTGCTAACCCTTTATTCCGTGGTGACTTCAAGTGACTTGTCAACGGCTTTTCCAGCGCAAGGCCAACCACAGTAACGCTTATGGAGGAGTGTCACCTCTCTCGATGGGATCCGGCAATGCATGTGGCGCGTGGCGCACACTGGGGCACGGCTCTGGAAGCCTTGCAGATTTTGAGACGCAGAGGTCTGAGAAACAGTCTTAGCATCCACAACTCAGTCATGCATAGCTGCGCCGCCGAGCAACATTGGAAGCTTGATTGGATTTCTGATTCCTGTGCAATGACTGTTTTTTAGCCACGTTGTGTTTGCTCGCAACTGACTGTTGATCAAGCATGATGAAGCCCGTATTTTGTGCGCGTGTGTCACAAATCCCATAATTATTCCATTCACTTCAGAGTCTTGGTTTGGAAGTATTGGACGTATATATGCAAGACACCATTGAAAACCATTGAACATATGATACACAGCATTGAACAAGTATTCAACACATACATATCATCATTCAAGTTTCCAATGCAATCACAAGATTTGAGTCTGAGTTATGAAATTATGTTTGCTGAGTTTCTTTATGTTTGCTTTCACCAAGGAAAGAGACTCTGACTCTGCTGCGTGGAGCGGCGTTGCAACCGAGCCGCGCCAGCTACAGCACCAGCATCACAGCTGCTGGACGGGCACAGCGGTGGCGCCTCTCCGTGGAGGCGTTCGAAGCTTGGAAAGTTGGAAGCGGCGGGATGAACATCCTTTAAAGGTTTGACAATGACATGGCTGACATGGCTGACATGGGCAGATACAAAAAAATGATGGAAATCTTGGGAAAAATGGAAGTTGTAAATGGAAATGGCTCCGTATCTCAGGGTGATATGTGAAGTGTCCAGATCCTAGATGGAGCTTTGACAATGGAAATTCCGTATGTGTGAATGATGTAGGTGTTTTCTATCCCTATGCGAGAATTCCTGCACCCCAGTTTTCAAGTATTTTTGGGATCACCTGAAACCACCTACCAGTTTAAGTTTGCGCTCAGAGCACAAATTGGAGTACAGCTGCTTTTCTGTATATTTTAGCATTTTGTTACGCAGCAAAGTAGCACCAAGATTCCTGTGCCGTACTGGCACTTAGACTTAAGGAATGGTCCAAACCTTACAGTACGCGGTCTGACCGTTTGAGCCTTCAGAGAACAGAGAGTTGCTGGTCCTTTGGAGAAGAATAATGGCGGGCATTAGAACCCGAGCTTTATGACTTAAGTAGGTCAAGTTTCCGATTTCAGTCTAGATAGTCTAGCATAGGTCACCCATTTCTGGTGCGTTTCCCCGAGGAATCGCTCCAAGAGAGGCTGCAGTGCAATGTGGTCACCTTCGGTGCCATCATCGGTGCATGCGAAAAGGGCTCCCAGTGGCGCCAGTCGTTGCGTCTCCTGGGCCGCCTGCAGCGGGAGGATTTGGAGCCCAACGTCATCGCCTGCAGCGCCGTCATCAGCGCGTGCGCCAAGGGCGACCAATGGCAGCTGGCGCTACAGCTGTTGGCGCATGTGGTGGAGACTCGCGCCTTGGCTTGCGGAAGTGCTTGTGTTTTGGAGATGATCAGTTTGGGGTTGGGTATGCCCCAGAACCAAAGCGACTATACAATTATCGAAGGAAGTTTAGAAGTGAAACTTCCGACAATATGGACAGTTGAAAAGCAGAGGTGAGAAGAGTCAGAAGAGAAAGAGTAAGAAGAAAGAAGATGCAGATGCGCGAAAAGGTAGGAAAGTCGCGAAACACTGTGTTTTTCCAATGATTTGTGGCTCCGGAGGGTCGAAAAGTAGGCTTGCTAAAGCGGCGGGTGCGGAGCCAGCTGGCCAGACGAGAGATGAAAAATTGCACGCCGTTGTGGCGCGAAGCACATTTCCAAGTCAAAATGTACAAAACACCAGGGGTTCGGACCACTTTTGGAAGTTGAGATGTCGAAAAAGTGCACGCCGTTGTGGCGCGAAGCACATTTCCAAGTCAAAATGCACAAAACACACCACGTTCGGACCACTTTTGGAAGTTGAGATGTCGAAAAAGTGCACGCCGTTGTGGCGCGAAGCACATTTCCAAGTCAAAATGTGCAAAACACACCATGGTCGGACCACTTTTGGAAGTTGCGATGTCGAAAAAGTGCACGCCGTTGTGGCGCGAAGCACATTTCCAAGTCAAAAGTGTTAAAAACTGACGGTCTTGGACCACTTTTGGAGGTTCAGATGTCGAAAAAGTGTCGAAAAAGTGCACGCCGTTGTGGCGCGAAGCACATTTCGAAGTCAAACGTGTAAAAAACTGAGGGTTTTGAGCCTTTTTTGACGTGAAGATGTCGAAAAAGTAGACACTGATTAACTTAACTAACTTGACTAACTTAACTAACTTCACTAACTTAACTACCCTAACTTCGACGACAACAGCAACAGCAACAGCAACAGCAACAACAACAACAACAACAACAACAACCACAACAACTACAACAACTACAACAACTACAACTACAACAACTACACAACAACTACAACTAGAACTACAACTACAACAACAACAACAACAACAGCAACAACAACAACAACAGCAACAACAACAACAACAACTACAACAAAAACTACAACTACAACTATAACTACAACTACAACTACAACTACAACTACACAACAACTACTACAACAACTACTACTACAACTACACTACACAACAACTACAACCACACAACAACTACAGCTACAACAACAACAACAACAACAACAACAACAACTACAACTACAACTACAACTACTACAACTACAACTACAAAACAACTACAGCTACAACTATATGACTGCAACTACACTACACTAATTACATTACACCGCAACTACAACTCCACTACGCTACAACTACAACTACAGTTGCAGTACATCACACTACATCCAGCAGGTGAGGAAGAGGTGACCACTGCAACCATTGCAACCACTCCAGCAAACACAACTCCAACCACCTTTCGGTCAATCAGTGGCTTCGCTCTGCCATCCCTGATTCGCAACAACCAACGTCTCCTATAGGTTTCCTATTTTTGAAACTTCCGCCACCGCCTTGTGCGGTACTACTGGTATCAACATTACATACGTTGGGTGAACAACTCTCTGTTCTCTCTTCTACCGTAGCTGCGGACACTTTAGAGTTCCTGCAAGGTTTTTGATGTTCATTCCAACACATTTGAACTGTCTGAAAATAGGTAGCTCAAGTTGAAGCTTAACCAGCATTTTCCCACATTTTCCTATTTAAAATGGACTTTGCTGGATTCCCCGCCCTCTGCACACCCCAAACCACTGCTGAGGCCTGGAGCCCAATGTCCAGACCTACACAGCTGCCATCAGCTCCTGTCGAGAGCACTGGCTGCAGGCACTGCAACTGTTGCTGGAGATGCAAGAGAGTGCCTGGGCAGCCTGGGGGGGCGTGCCTGGGTGCCCCAAATGGCCATGGGGTACCTGGAAAGCCATCCTAAGTGATGTCCTCAAAAGTATTCAATAAAGGCCGTCCAGGGGCTCAGTCCAGGTCACTTGCAAGCCAACATCATCACCTATAGTGCTGTCATCAGCTGCTGCCCTTGGCACTGGGCTTTGCAGCTGCTCATGGAGTTGGAAGAGGGCCATTTGCGAAGCGATGTGGTGTGGCTTGGTGAAAGCGTGGAAAATGACAAGTCAACCTCTTTAGGAGGAATCTGTGTTTGTGTGTTCAAAGACTCTCTTACTATCCTACTTTACCATACCCTCAAGGATTCTTTTCAGTCAGTCGTATTTAAGATAGATTAATTATATTTATTGTAATTATGTAGTTAATAGACATGATGATCATAATTTATGGGACTCCGGCCAACGGTAGATGATCATGTGAGTATTTGTGTGTGTGATGGGGTTGGGTGGGGTGCTGATCATTTGCAAGCAAAGGTGTTGATTGAAAGTGTCTGAAGAATTCAATCTCTACCAGACTCCATCATTAAAAAACGGCTCCTGCATCCAACTTTCTACCACAGCTTCTCATTTTCATGTGGCTTTCATCACATTTCATGACATTTCCAACAAAGTCCTTCATGATTGGCCCAGGCTTTGCAACACAGTCCTGAGGGCCTGTGAAGGTCAGCCATCAGTGGTGCTGGCGCTCTATTCCAGACTCCAACTGCTGGGCCTGGCGGACCACGTCACGTACAGCACGGCCATCAATGCCTGTGGGTGGCAGGATGCTATGCTATTGCTGCAGCAAATGCATGGGTGCCTCAACTGTTGGCGTCAATCTTTTTTCGAAGAAGGATTGGGAGATCTGCATCACCAAAACTAGGGACGATAATTAGATTTTACTGCTTACCAGGCTCCCTGAAGATTCGTTTTGTTCAGGTTGTATAGGTTTGCAAGTCCTTATTCGTCGAATTGGCATTAGTTCTGTTCCAGGAAATATCAAAATCAAAATATTGACGCAACAGTATCCGGACGTTGTCATCTACACGCCGTACCCAAACAGGTGGCAGAAACTGTTCCCAATGCAATACCTTTTCTTTGATATTCGAATATCAAGAACCCTGTAGAACCCCTTGGTTTAGTGTTGGATTTATTCATTTGGCGGACCGATGTGGGCCATATATGGCCATATGGGTTGTATTAAATACCTATGGGACGAGATGAAAAAAAAAGCTTCAGGACATTTCAGGACTCAGCTGTAGCCCAAAACAAATTCGAACCCATCCCTGCTTGCTATTTTGATTGTCAATCATTTGAAATCGCCAGTTGTGTTATAGTAAATCACAAAGAAACCATCATAAACCATATGAATCATAAACCATCACAAACTGGCATAAATTCGCAGTTCTTGCCAGTCTAACTCGATTTCACATCCACCTTTCGAATCTTGTTGTTTGAGGCAGAGATTGCCCGGCAATGTGGTGGTGTACAACGCTGGCCTCAAGTCCTGCGAGAGCTCCAGTGCTTGGCAGGGGGCCATGAAGATTCTGGAGATGATGCAGGTGCCAGTTGGCGCCAGTGGATAGGGGGAGCCGGGGGAGCCATGGATTTCAGACTCCAAGCCATGGGGCTTGGTCGATTTTGGACCACTTTGGTGGGGAAGAATGGCACTTTCGATTTTGGCGAAGATGATTGTTGCCGCTGAAGATGAAGATTTGGTCAAGTGAAACTAAAGATGTGGATTTGGCAAGCTATAAGTATCTATGAGTTTGGTTTCATAAACATTCATTAACTGCATGTGGGGTACCCTCTTATTGGACGAAACCATTGAGGACCAGAGAGCCGCAATGGTTTTCAATCGTTGCTATTTTAAACATTTCTAACCCTTCCAAGCTTGGGCATGCAAGTTCAGGATTGGTTTGCAGTTGATATCCAAGTCTTTCTGTAACCTCTCCATTGTGGATTTATTTTGACTATATAGACTATACTTACACCCACAATGTAAGACAGTTTTTTTGGGGTACCAAAGACATTGCTGTCGAATGAGTTGTCATGTTAGTAGCTCAATTAATGTGATACCATGTGATACCTCAACTCATATATATATATATATATTGTATAATATATATATATTACATTATATGTAATATATATATATATATACATATTATGCCATATACCTCAAAATGGTCATCTTGATGGGAAGAATGATGCCCTTCCTGGTCACCTCTTGAATCTTTAAGCGCCGCGAAGGCTCAGGGTGTTCCCTCCGACTCCATCACCTGCAGCGCTGCAGTCAGTGCCTGTCGCAGCGCTGAGCAGAACGATGTGGCGCTGGGGATCTTCTGGGAAATGGTGGCCGCGAAGGTGGAGGCCGGGTGTTTTGATGTTGAAAGGACTATCAGGTGGATCTAAGGTTTATGATATTAAAATATATTAAATAATGTTTAAAGGTTGTCCATCTATTTTCTTAGTATGGTTGTAATTTGTTTGTGGAAGGGTTTTATGATGTTTTATGGTGAATTCGTCAATCATGTCAAAACATGATGGGAGATTTTACATGATTTTGCTAGTTAAAGTTGGTGGGTTCAATCACAAACCTGAGGAGCTAACTCACGAGCTAACTCACTTTGCCGGCAAAAACTGGGAAGATAAGTGGGTAAGATCAACTGAGTAGAAAACTGGAAATTCACGGGTACAAAAATGCCGGGGACTTCAAACAAAAACAAGCGAGACATCAGCAAGGAAAACCAATCAAAGAATCAGACATGTGAACTTCACCAGGGAGAAGAGTGTTTCACAAAATTCTTGACAAAACAACACACTAGTGCATTGATTGTGAGTTTCAGCAGTTCAGATTCAACCACTGGTGGCCGTGGCTTGTTGCATTGGGGCGAACATCTCGTGAATTTGCATGAATCCGATACAAACCCATGTTTGATCGGTACGTATTAAGCACTAACCCTACAAAATACGGAACATGACGAAATCTGATTTTTTGTCTTGGCCAAGTTGACCGACAAGGATCGGATATGAGATTAGATAGGGCACTTTTTGGGCACTCTTGGGGGTTTTCAACTTTGACTCATACTCAGAATCCTATTGGTGACCTAAGCCCATTTAGAACAATTTAGATTCCATCATTTGTCAGATCCCAACATCTTTGTTTTTTTCCATCAGAACCAACCCATCTTTTGGATGCGAGGCCAACGTGGTATCCTTCACTGCTGCCATCACGGCGTGCTGCGACCATCGCTGGCCTTTGGCCCTCCATTTGCTGTCGCAGCTGCAGGATGTGGATGTGGTGGCCTGCAATGCGGCAATCAGCGCGGTGAGCACCACGAGATTTGGGGAGTGGGTGCAGGCACGGTTCAAAGATTTTAGGTGTGGGTCAAGTACGGGTGTAGATTCTTCAAGCATGATGTTCAAGTTGAGCTGCAAGATGGTTCAAGAAGGAGTTTGAAGTTCTGCAACGAAATTCTAGAACCAATTGATCTTAAGAATTCTTCAGCTGATTTTGGTGTTTCCTTGAATATTACTTGCCATGGTTGTCCCAAGGTTGATGGGAAATGCAAACTCTATTCAGGAGCCAACCGGTTGATGCAAAATGGAACCAGGTGGCCACCTGTAGCCGCCTGTAACTATATATATATATATATATTAATATAATTATATATATATATATATCGTTATATCTATATATTTATTTATTTATATATGATATTCAACAGATTATACATGTGATTGGTATATGTTTATTGTCAATCATATATATATATATATATTCTGATAGTCCATCAACACCCATGTGGACCACCTTGAGAATACGAACATGCAGCGACCTTTATGTGCTGTATCACAACTGCAGGCATTGCAGCTGTTTCGCGACATGGAGCTGCAGAGGATCAAGGCCAATGATAAGACCTATGGAGCATTGGCAAAGGCATTTGAACGAGGCCCGTGGGGATGGTACACAAATATACACAACGATTACAGGGAAGTCATTAGAAGATCATCCACAAACAAGATTCAAATGAGTTCAATGATCTTCAAAGAAGATCAATGAGTTTGAGTTCAATGAGTTCAATGAGTTCAATGCCTTTCTCTTCGATTTGAAGTTTTATACCTCTCCATAGAACGAGAATGAAACAGGATGGCAATGCTAAATCCTCGACTTACATATTTTGTTCGAAACATTTTTATGTTGAAGAATTGTTTTTTTGATCGCAGGGTGCAGAACAATGCCAACACATATTAAATCATATTAATATTATATACTATTATATACTATTATACTAATATCATCACTATGAATTGCATCCAAATCAGCATCAGTGACCAGAGAGGATTGCTATCCCAGGCCGCCAATGGCAGCGTGCCCTTGATCTCTCGACCCTGGGCGACGGCGTCCCAGCGGGCGCGGCCGTGTCGGCCCTGTCGGAGTCGGCGCCCATGGCGCCATTGCTGGCGAATTTGGAGGACCGGGCCAGGACCAGTCCGGCCTTGTTGGGGCATGCGGGGTCGGAAAAAGCTCCCGCGAATTTATGGATTTTTGAGGATTTTTTGTGCAATTGCTGGAGGATGGGGTCTTGGAGGAGGGATTGGAAGCTGGATGTTGTGCCCCACTGACTGCTGTGCATGTTCAGGATTTTGAATCATTGGATAGTGCTGCCCAACATGGCGCACAGGGCCTTGAATCATTGGATACACCAGAATTTGACAGTTGGATGGTTTCAACTTGTTTATTTTCCATCCTTGGATGACGATCCCAATCCCCACTTGCTTAGCAGTCTTAAAAGAGGTTGAAGTCCCCAACCAGTTGCCAGCCAGACTTCCCAAGCATTCACTTGTGGATATATGCATGGAATATAACCACTGAAATTTCATGACCAGCCGGGTAGGATCCCCTGTTGACTAGCAGATTCAAACGAGATGAAATGGGTTTGAAATAGTTTGAACAAGTGTATCACTACATGATGTTCAGTCCTGAGCCCTGCCATATGGGTTCACACCCAATTTGAATCGGTTGTAATCTACTGATTGCACATGGCCTTGAGGTGAACGTGCTTGTTCAGCATGGAGCAGATGTCAACTGGCGACCGCACAAGAAAAAGGAGCCGTTGCTTCACAGCAGGGGAACTCAGAAGTGCTGGATTTTGTTGACGGCTGGGTTGATCAATGGTTGGTAAATTGGCTCCAGAGGGCCTTCAGGCTGCAACCTGCAATAACAATATAGACTAATATAGTGTATCAACATATCTCAAAAGTATCTATGCAAAAGCTAATTCAATGTTTTAATGTACTGTCAAACTTCAGCGAAGTTTGATATATACAATATCTATCAATATCTATAATTTTCTTTAATATATACTATATCATACTATATTACTATATCTCTATGTAATATTTACTAACATATACAATTATATACAATTATATATTACAGATAATGCAATATAACAATATATAACAATAGATTTTGAGCATGGACCAACCATACAACACCAAGCCTGAACCAAGCCAACAGCGCAGAGGTGCGGCACGCTTTGGCCATGTACCGGTGATCAAAGCATTGCTGGACAGCAAGGCTCAGCTCCATCGACGTCTCAAAGGTGCAGGCGGGGGTAGCAACGGATCTCCAATCATCGAGTCAGCCATCGTTTCTTATATGGATTCATGTAACAGATGAGTCATTGAGGGACGTTGATCATACTATATATATATATATATATATATAGTTGAAAGTTAGCATATAAATTGAATATCATTGAATCAGATTCTCCGATTTGTTGCTCATCAAATCGCTTCAAATCGCCCAGGACATTGAAAAATGGTCCAATCGCCATGACTCGCCGGTAATGTTTGATGAAACACAACCCATTTATGCATTGAAATAGTGTTTTTTCCTATCCATGTTAGTTTACCAGAGGATATAACATGATATATTTTTTCAACTTGTCAACTGAGATTCATCACCATGTTCCAACCTCCGCAATTCTTCATCAACTTACCAGTGACAAGTGAGGCGAAGCCATCCACGACGCGGCGCATTTCGGACACCTTGGCGCCCTGGCGGAGCTGGTGGAGCAGAGGGCCCAGCCGCAGCTTGGTCCAAGGAGGTTTCCCCATGGTTTTTGTCTGGCAAAATGTGGGATTTCAATGGATTTAACCACCAAAATGATGCCTTAACCAACATCATCCCGGATCCGTACTTAATTGGATTTTACCACCAAAAATTGGGATTAGTTGGAATAGATTGGAATTTAACCATCAAGAAATGGCAAAACCTTCAGCAGTCCGCCTTAAGATTCTGGTGCAGTCCATGTTCTTATTGGTAAGTAGATGTAAATATGTAAATAGAAAACTCATATTTTTGTGTGAAATCCCCATTTTGGTTGGCTTCGGATAATCATGAATGATTGCACATCGGTGCAGCCGGTGGTCCATTTGAATTTGGGCTGCAGGTTTTCCAAAACCTCCAGGGGCAGTACCACACCTATGGACCTGGCCATGGAAGCGGGGCACCAACCTGTGGTTGGATATCTGCAGGAGAGGTGGTTGAGAATGGGAGTTCATATATTCATGGATTGTGATAATCCAAAAATATCCAAAATATATTGGTTGTTGATGGTTAGTATAACCCCATACAATTTTGAACACTGCTCATACACGATTTCAATCCATTGTTCGATGATCACCAGCACCTTTGAGGCATCTAAGGCTCACACTGATGTGGTGATGGATCAAGGCAAGGCCCATAGGACCATTGTTTTGGGGGAGATGAACAGCCGCCAGCCATTTTGGTGTTCACCAGGGATGGTTTTCATCCATCCCCAATCAGCTCCACAGCAGCAACACTGGTGATGTTCAGGAGCTGGCAGCACGGCACTCCGAGCTGTGAGGAAAAAAACGGAAGACTGGAAATCAGCTCCCACCATTTGGATCGATTCGGGTCACTACCTTCAACAAGGCAAACACAATCTGATATCTGCAACTTGACTTGGGAACTGGAGCCGGTTCATTTGATTTCACAGAGGATTTAAGTTTAAGCAGTGACGCAGCCATGGCGAAAGGCTTTGTTTCATGGTTCCAATTCTTTTGGACTCAAACAGTCCCCGTGCCAAAGGCTGCACACCTCGCAAGCCCCACAACTGAAGTCTTCAGACAGAGCCCCTGAGTTTCAACAACTTGCTCAGAGTTCATAGAAGCTTCAAGCATTTATCATGGAACGAAGCTTTAAAGAACAACACGAAATCACATGAATTGGCCTTCCAAATGTAGATGTCATATCCCAACCTCCCAACCCGATCTGTCCAAGCAAACCCCCATCCTGGTGGACAATGGAGATCCCGTTGCTGACGACTGGCACAGATGATGAGATCCTTCGTTGTGTCTTTGAGTGTCTCGGCGGAGTGGGATTGGGAGAGTCCAGCTGGAAATGTTTGCGTCAAACTTGAGTGGGTACTTTGGTACCTTGATAGTTTAAGACAGGCCGTGATCTCTTAGCAATCCTTCACCTTCCAAAAATGGGGAAGGTATGTTTGACCATTTGCAATGGATGGGTCTAATCAGCCTACTCAACTAAAATGGAAAAATCATGGGATTGCCAAAAAAACACAATAACAAGGGTGATTGTAAGTTGCGGACCACAGCTCGACAAGTATCTAAAGACTTCTAAAGGTCTATTACCCATAGGATCCATGTATGCTATATATGGTAACATTTACCATCAATATACCCCAGTCATGTTAGCATATATACCAGCACCATGGATCCTATGGGTTATGCAAGTCAGTGTAAAACAGTCTAGAACCATCATGTTGTACCGCTTTGACCCATCAAAAACTAAATGGGGAGACAACCTGCGCTGAAAAAAACAACACGACCATTGGGGAGCATGAGCAGGCAGAAATGGGCATGTAAGATAGTTACCAAAAGTGAGGAAAAATGTAAAACATTGTAAAACAATGTAAAACACTCATCAGGAATAGAGCCAAATAGGATATGTATGTAACGAATAGACCGAATGTCCACACATGTTCAAAAGGGGACTGGCCGTTCTTGAGGTTCAGTTTGCCAGGTGCAGGTGGCAAACAAAACAGTTCTTGGAGAGCCCAACTTTGATCCCTCTTTTCTCACAAGTTTCTCCCACAGAATTAACTCCAAAGGGTGAACCTACAGGATAGGTGACCCGAACCGACCAGATCCGACCGCAACCGGGCCACGCTACCAGGTTGTCATCGCAGCGGGTCGCGAACTCAGAGATGTCAGAGCCAAGGTTGCTGAGATGATTTGAGATGTAAAACCCAGCAGATTTTGTGGGACAGGTCCAGCTTCGTGGCGTATCGCGCCGCTGGATGTCCGTGTGGAGGTGAGCTTGGGGAGGGGTGGATTGATACATTGATTGTATCATATCTGTCAAATGTATGAAATGCTTGGACTGTTTCACCCCAAGATTTAAGACTATTTTTGAACGGATGGCAACAGAGAGTTACGATCAGTATAAACCCCTATGTACAGCAACTTTGGTACTCTATGTTGTAGGGACTACTGCCAGTCTATGACCACCACTACCACAACGGGTAGGTGCTGTAAAGTTGGCAGCATCCCATGGTAATTACCCCCAATTCCACTGGATTATCATCATTTTGCCGATGAAGATTGCCATTTGGGGGTATCCTCCTATTTTCAGACAACCCCATATGCTGTAATACATGTGATCAATATATATATATATACACATTATATATATATATAAATATACGCATTATATATATACAATATATATATACAATATATTATATAATATATATATATACAATATATATATACAATATATATATACAATATATTATATAATATATATATACACATTATATATATATACAATATATATATATATACAATATTTTATATAATATATATATACACATTATATATATACAATATATATATACAATATATTATATAATATATATATACACATTATATATATTTATACAATATATTTATATATATATACAATATATTATATAATATATATATATATATTTACACATTATATATATATATACAATATATATATATACAATATATTATATAATATATATATATATACACATTATATATATACAATATATATATATACAATATATTATATAATATATATATATACACACATTATATATATATACAATATATATATTTATATATATACAATATATTATATAATATATATATACACATTTTATATATATACAATATATTATATAATATATATATACACATTATATATATATACAATATATATATATACAATATATTATAATATATATATACACATTAGATATACAATATATTATATATATATACACATTATATATATACAATATATACATACAATATATTATATAATATATATATACACATTAGATATATATATATATACAATATATATATATACAATATATTATATAATATATATATACAATATATATATACAATATATTATATAATATATATATATATATACACATTATATATATACAATATATACATACAATATATTATATAATATATATATACACATTAGATATATATATATACAATATATATATACAATATATTATATAATATATATATACAATATATATATACAATATATTATATAATATATATATATATATACACATTATATATATACAATATATATATATACAATATTTATATAATATATATATACACATTATATATATACAATATATATATACAATATATTATATAATATATATATATATACACATTATATATATTTATACAATATATATATATATACAATATTTTATATAATATATATACACATTATATATATATACAATATATATATACAATATATATATACAATATATTACAATATATATTTATATATACACATTAATTATATATACACATTATATATATATACAATATATATATATACAATATATTATATAATAAATATATATATATACACATTATATATATACAATATATATATATATATACAATATATAATATAATATATATATATATATACACAATATATATATATATATACACATTATATATATATATATACAATATATATATACAATATATTATAATATATATATACACATTATATATATATATACATTATATATATATATATACAATATATATATACAATATATTATATAATAAATATATTTACACATTATATATATATACACATTATATATATATATATACAATTTATATATATACAATATATTATTTAATATATATATATATACACATTATATATTTAAAATATATATATATATATACAATATATATATATACAATATATATATACAATATATTATATAATATAGATATACATATTTTATTAATCTACATTGTACCAGTCCGGAGAATCCACCAACAAGAAAAATGTGTGATATCGGCGCCCAAAACAACAACTGGTGTTTCAGCTGGTGTCAGACCCATTTTTGCCGAAGAATCTCCGGTTCTGTCGAGGTCCTTCCCATCCCACTGGACCGTGAAATTTGATCCTCCCAGCGGCCCTGTGACGCTGGAGTTGGAGGTGAATCAGGTGGGGCTCGGCACTTTCAACGGTTCCACCAGGTTACACATAATAGCGGTTGTTTAATGACTAGGGTTACTACCAGGGGTAATAGAAGGGAAAGTGTACCATTGGAAGATTTTCGTGGGAATGCTGGTGAAACATCACACAGTCTGCAAATGGGTTTAAACTATGGATGTGGTGAAAATCACTATTTGTTTATCACGTGTAGATGATTTTTCCCTATGGATCTATGCCATGTTCAAATGTTGGAGTGTAATGATTGAGCACCGAAAAATGGATCGTTTCTTGACTGTTTCATGCGTAGAACTAAGATTCTGCGAGTCCACCAGTACCGCATGATTCAGTAAAACCCACAGAGAAGCTGCTTGTGAAAATCCTGGGATAAGCAGTGAGGATTTCACGAGGACATGATTGGTGGGACCTTGACCAAACCCAACACAACTTGGAGGTGGCTAAACAATTATAGGATGGGTACATACACAACTTGCGAATTGAACATGTCCAGTTCTATTCTCATTAATAGATATTAATAGTCCCACTACTGTATTACCATATCTCTTGGGTCTTGCCATATCTTGGGAGCCCACATGACCGTGGCTGAAAGGCGATGAGCAAATTGATCCTCACCTGTGAGTTGGAGCTGTGCTCCGGTCACAGCGGTCGCAGCGGTCGCAGCACCGTGGCGCGCATGGATTGGGTGCCGTCCTACTTTGGCTCCCGCAACGGTCACGCCGGGAGCCCCGAGGAATTCAGTCTGCTCTCTGGTAGGGGTATAGACATGGCAAATCAATGCAAACTATGGCAATGGATGATGGAAAATCGTATTTTTGAATGGAAGGGAGTTGAAGAGACTCAGAATTGTCTATAAATTTATCAAATGGGAGATTGAGAATCGTTACGTTTGATCACCACAGGATCGACAAAATGTGCGAAGGTGGGTTGAAGAAAAATTGCTTGATTTTGGGGGGTCTGACAAGTTGTGGAAAATTGATCAAGTTTCGCTTGATATACATCTGGGTTTCCAGAAAATGTTCTAGACAGTTAAAGAGTTGACAAGGGCTTTGATGTTGAAGAGGTGTGTAAGCTTGACACTTCTGGGAGTTGGGTGCCTTTTTAACGGAGTCGAAGTATTCATCCATGGTTCAGAAGCCGAATCCCACTTGGGACTGGGACCATGGCAATCCCACAGCCACATGGTTTCCTTTTTTGTAGGTGCCCCTCAGTGACTCATATCCAGAACATTGCTCACACCCACACCTGTTATTTGATTTTATGGGTTGCATCTAGACTTCTAAACTTTAAAATGCCGTGTTTTCAGAAGTACGTATATGTTATAAGTTATAAGTATATATAACATTATATAACCATATATATATATAGGTGAGAGATGTTTAAGTTGTTGTCATATATGGATGGATGTTCCGTTGGTCCAGAGCGAACCTTCAGAGGTGCCATACCAAGGTTCTGCACGAGTTGAAAAACGAGGCTCCACGGGTGATAGTCATCAAGTGAGGCAGAGGTCATCAAAATCTAGGAAATTTGCTGTTTGTGGTGTGGTTGTCAGAATTAAAGTTTAAAGCATGTATATATATATATACATATAATGTCTATAACTATATATGATATACCTTATAGATAAAACACACACATAATATATATATATATACATAATAATGCATTCAGTTTCGTAATGTAAGCATGTCGTTTTTGTGAGCTGTTTTTGGGCATACTACTCTTCTGGGTCCACACCAACATGCGAATGTCAGGCTGCTGATGCGACATGGCGCTTGGCCAGCCGTATTTTCCAAGGCTGGACAGAGTTGAATTGGGCACAAGGTAAACTACAGGGATGCTTGTTGCACCAGACTGGCATTTGGGTCAAAGCTGAACGTTTCATAATTTAAGTGGGCGCTTGAGTAAATCAACATAAACCAATATCATTTCATGTGTTTGCGTGGATGTTTGCCATGTTGCCATGATGTCTGTGGCTATTCAGGTGCCAGCGCGGCACCCGGCGAAGGGCAACTGCGCTTGCGCTCAGCGGAGAAATTGGTGCTGTGCGCAGTGGACCACCAGCAGGCACCATCTGGGATTGGGTCAAGATGGGGGGATCCCGTGGACCACAACGGCAATTTTAATGGTGAGGATTACAGATAAGCCAATGGAATTTTTAGTCTACCGGCAAATGAACGGTGCATTGGGTCAAGTCATCATTTGGGTAATTAACCTTTTTGGACCCACCAAATTTGTGGTTTTCTTTTCTAATGTGAATCCATCCATTTTCGGGGCGGTGATATCTCTAGCCCCAGTCAATGAAAGCCCTCAATCAGATTATGAATTTGCCCAATTTCTGAAGGATACATAAGCAATTCATGTTTCTAGAGAAACGGTCAGTGATTGCACGAGTTTTCGTCGGAGACATGAGCACAACAGTGGTAAATCCACCAATCAATGTTTCAATTATGTTTCAATTCAGCTTTTGGCCATCGAAAAAAAATGTTCACACGAAAAAGTCCGGAGACCTCTTGGTCTTTTGGTGTAAAAATATCAGTTGTTCGGCACAGCCCGTCTTGGCCCGTCACAGGTGGAATTGTTCCGATGCCTCATCGATTGCCGAAAGAACAAACAGCTGCAATCGTTGGATCCGCTGGATCCGTTGAGTCCGTTGAAAAAGTGCTGTTGGGAATGCAGGACATGTTTGGAAAACCCAGTTTTGTAAAGGGTCAAGCAGTTCGCGTCGGACTACTTGCTGATTAAAACCCTATGGTAAATCAATGTAAATCAATGGAGAATCCACCATTGAATAGATGATACCAGGCTATAAACCTCAATTAACAGTGGAATTGCCCATATTTTCCCATGAATGTCCTATGATTTTCCCATTAAAACCTGGCAGATGAGGTGCTGGAAAGTCCCTTCGGCCTCATCGAGGAGCTGCTGGCAGATGAACCCTGGCAACTCTTGGTACCTCGGCACCCGTGGGGCCGTGGTTGGTTCGGGGGTGTTTATAACCAACAATATTTATGGGATACGATCTGTATATATATATATACTGTATATATAGATTATGATTTTATATAGTAATATACATAGTACTAGTACATACATACAATTATGGTATGTACATGACATTACATAACAAACAGTTTGAACTTTGTGGAACTAGAAATGTGATTTGTCCCTTGCGAATTTGATATGAAAACCCGTTGGATTCCCAAGGACAGTGATCTGCGAAATGGTGCATTCTAGAGGGTACCAATCTGTGGTATTATGTGGTAAACTCGAAGGATTTATATATAAATATATATGTTGAGACTTTTAGTGAAATAAAGACAATAAACAATATATAAACAATATGAGCTTCACAACACCCCCAAGTGTATAAGGGTCTGTACATGTGCTGAATAAAAACGATCTATACTGAATAAAAACGGTCTATACGTGGGTTGGATGGATTGATTTTAGAAATGCAATAGAGGATGTAAATAGAGAATTGATATGATATGATATGATATGATATGATGTGCTGCAATAGAACGGAATAAAGCATACCAGCATGAAATGGAATTTAGGCATCAACCAGTGAACACTGTGCCGAGACCACCTGCATCTTGCTGAACAAGACTGGACGTGCTGTTGGGCCCTCAGTGGTGGCTGCAAAGGCAGTGATGATGTCACCATGGTGACAGTAGAGGACGGGATTCTGATGGAGACTGTATATAGACATCTTCATAGTACATATATGATCCGATGTATTGTGCGCATATATTATATATAATTATAATATATATATATATAATTATAATATATATATATATATGTATATACATATATTTATATGTATATACATATATTTATATGTATATGGTGGGTGTGTGTGTGTGTCTGTATGTGACATGTCAATGTAATTTACAGAGTCCAAATGTGTCCAGATCCAGCCATGTTCCGTTCCTTTCGGGTGGCTTCGAATCAACGTCCAACCGTCCAACCATCCTAGAGTACAGTAGAAATTTCAAATAATAATATTGTTTCAAGATAATATAGATCATATATAATTATATATATATATATAATTATATCATCTATCATTATCTACTTTTGATTGTTCAAGACAAGCCTTGAGGTTGTAGACCGGATGCTGCCAGAATTCCTTGCCATTTGCCCAGGCTGGGGGGTCATGGGTTCAAGTTCTAGTCATAGATATACAGTAAATAGGTGATGTAATGAGTGGATGTCAGGGGGTGATTGAGTTTTTAAGAAACCCACATCCAGACTGGTTATGGATTTATTGTGCAGATTCTGACTATATTGCAGAATTATGTGTGTAACTCATCGGATCATCGTAGCCTCCATGATATTTTCTATCGGATTTTATATATCCTCTATGAAAACAAGATTGAAACATGTGCCATAGGGGCCATAGGCATTGATTGATAATATTGGTTGTCTACAAGTGTTCAACCCCCCTATCTCCAACAGGCTCCACCCCTGTTGCGGATAGGTCCACAAGGGCTCCTGGACACTGCTCCAGAGGTGTTGCACAGGAGCTGGGTGTGGCTGGCTTGGCATAGCATCGCTGGTTGCTGGTTCAGTCGTCATTCTGGGTATCCTCCAGAACCTTATGAAATATATCGATAGATGCGGTATATATGTACATATAGATTCGGAAAATATGATTAAAATTGGTGCTCTAGTCATTTCAACGCCTTTTTTCCTTGCAAAAGATGTTGGAACACGTGGAACATATCTGGCCAATGTCCATCCAGGATCTTCCAACCTTTGGGCCTGCACCGGAAGCGGGTCCGCTGCCCAGTGGAACCAATTTTGATCACTGGAAATGCTGGGGGGTGACTAATGGTGAAAAAAAAAGCATCATTTTGGAGCAACCAACAACAATGCGGGGGTTAACCATCATTGTGATTAATGGGTGTATATATATATATATATACATAGATTTATAATTTATATTAATGGTTGCATCTGATTAGTGTGAGGGCCCCCCCCCCTAAACAATTTGAGGATACTCTATAACTCGCACTTTTTTTTTGCCCCCCCTCAACATTTTTTTGGTCAATCAACTTAAGAAAGGATTTCAATTTACTTTCAATTGATTTCAATTTACTTTTAATTAATTAATTTACTTTCAATTGATTTCAATTTACTTTTAATTTACTTTCAATTGATTTCAATTTACTTTCAATTGATTTCAATTTACTTTTAATTTACTTTCAATTGATTTCAATTTATTTTCAATTTACTTTTAATTTACTTTCAATTGATTTCAATTTACTTTCAATTGATTTCAATTTACTTTTAATTTACTTTCAATTGATTTCAATTTACTTTCAATTGATTTCAATTTACTTTTAATTTACTTTCAATTGATTTCAATTTACTTTTAATTTACTTTCAATTTACTTTCAATTGATTTCAATTTACTTTCAATTGATTTCAATTTACTTTCAATTGATTTCAATTTACTTTCAATTAATTTCAATTTACTTTTAATTTACTTTCAATTTTTTTTCACTCCCAAAAGCTGGTGCTCACAATAGAGTACCATCCAAACAATTGTATTATTGAGTAACTGAGCCAAATCATGAGGTATCCCCCTTGAAAAATTGTCTGGATGCTGTTTTTTAATAAGGGTTTAATAAGGCATCTAATTATTTGGAAAACCTTGCATTTTAAAGCTTTAACACAAATATGGCTTTCTAAAGTGAAAGGACCAGCTTTACCCAAAGAAAGGTGGAGAAAGGGTCTTGTTTTTTTTTCACTCCCAAAAGTTTGTGCTCACAATAGAGTACCATCCAGGCAATTATATTATTGAGTAACTGAGCCACTCATGAGGTATCCCCTTGAAAAATTGTCTGGGTGCTGTGTTTTAATAAGGGTTTAATAAGGCATCTAATTATTTGGAAAAACCTTGCATTTTAAAAGCTTTAACACAAATATGGCTTTCTACAGTAAAGGGGCCAACTTTACCCAAAGAAAGGTGGAGAAAGGGTTTTGTTTTTTTTTCACTCCCAAAAGTTGGTGCTCACAATAGAGTACCATCCAGACAAGTATATTATTGAGTAACTGAACCACTCATGAGGTACCCCCTTGAAAAATTGTCTGGATGCTGTTTTTTTAATAAGGGTTTGATAAGGCATCTAAAATAAAATTAAAAATATATAATCATAAATAGAAAAAACATATTTTTAAAAAAGTTAATTAAAGCATTTGGAAAAAAAAATAAAAATTGAAAGAAAACAAAATCTGGAAAATAAATCTCACAATAGAGTTCCCCCCCAACAATTAGCATGTGACTGAATTAGGAGCAAGAAATTTCTCACAATAGGGTACCATCTCTTTAATCGGGTGCAAACATTATATACATCTTTATATACATCACATGACCAACAACGCGTTATTCTGGGTGTTTGAAAATGGTGGATCCCTCCAAAAAAATGATATATTCAAAAAAAAAAATGATTTTGGGAGCATCATGATCAACCAGAATCCAAAAGTCTGGAAATGGCAGGATTATCAGGATGGTCTTCTTTTAAAGATGACATGTTTAATCCCTCTGAGTTGGTTTTGAAGCTGAGGCACGCATGCTACGACGCTTCAGTGAGGAGTACATGGAGGCGATGGCCATTTCGGCAGGGGAAAAGGCTGAATTCCAAAACGGACTGGGATTTCACTTGGAGGGCAAGCAGCAAACATATTGTGATATATATTATATACACACATTAAAAAATAATTTATAATACAGTATATATATATATATATATGTATATTTGTTCTGCATGAACATTTATTTATCGTGCAGACTGCAGGCGGAGAGGGAAGCCGAGTGCGACTTCATCCCCTTGGAGCGCGTGCGCAGGCGCGAGATATGAGTGGGTCGATGAATAGTGGGTTAATAGTGATGATTATTAGATATTACTAAACTAGTAATAGTATGTAATAGTGATAGTTTGGAGCTATAGGGATGGTGATGGTTAATAGTGATTGTTAATAGTGATGGTCAATAGTGGGTCAATAGTGGGTGAATGGTAGGAAACTTGGGTCAATGGATTGATAGGTAGGTGAATGGGTTCATTGGGAATGCCGCAAAAGGGAATGAAGATTAGGCAGCTCAAAAATTGTTTTTTCTTTGGCAGGGGATCAGGATTTGCCATAGAAATATAGCACACACACGCGGAAGGAATATGACCAGAAGAAGACAAGGGGTCAGCAACATTGTAACATAGCGATGCATGCAGATGCAGCAGCAAAGAGGATGGAGAAAAATCAGGACATCATGCATCACCCAGTTGGACAAGGTTCCAGTTGGTGTGCGGTTGGTAACCATCTTCTAGCAGAACTGTACAGTGATTACCCTGCTTACTGAGTGGGGTGATTTCCATTCATACAGGAGTCATCCCATACCTAGAGTTGGTGTATTGTTTTTACATGTTTTTACATGTTTTTACTTCCTCCGCAAATACGTACCAAAATGATCGCACAAAATTCAACACAAACATGGAGATAGATTCATGCAGTCGGCAAAACGGAGCATTCCTTCATGTGGTATCGCAGTGTTCCACGTTGGGCCATCCATGGTCACCCGAAGAAACTCCGGTCCTGGGTCCTGGTCGGGAAATGCGAGCCGAGGAAAGCTGAGCATGTTATCACGCTGAGTTGTTCTAGCGGAAAGATGTTGTTTCGGAACAAAGATCCACAAGAGTTTTTACATCAAAGGAAAATATGTTCAGATATATATATATATATATATTATATTATATATATATATATATCTGGCATGTTCTGGCATTAGACCCGTTTGATGTTCCGGACAGCCTTAGCCATCTCAGCCTTGGTCCACAGGTTTCATGGTGTTGGCATCGCGGCAGTAGTCGTTGAACGAAGTGGGACTGTGGCCACGAGTTGTGTTAGACTGAATAGTTTCATCTAGTTTCCACATCCAAACATAGACACTAGTCCTAACCAGTTTGCTTTGGCACTGGCTACTTCGCTAGGTGACCCAAATATTGAAAGTGAACTCAAGAGTACTTAATTATGTTGTGTATGTACCCACCGTTGACCAACGTCTTCATCAGACTTGCGCCATTCATTTGGGTGTGTCTGAACATGTGGTGTACCCCCATGTTCATGAGGAAAATGACGAACAACCATGAACAACCAGTGGATTTTGATGATTGAGGGATACCCTATTTTCGGACAAACTGTTACAAACCCATCGGATGCAATCAGATACATCAACTCGCCAGTTTGCCCAGAACAACTGACTGGCTGGTGGTTTCCAAAGGTTTCCAATATATTGTTTATCTCTGTTTATCTATGTTTCTACCATTGTCGATCTATGTTTATATCGCTAATTATCCCAACAACTGGGTTGATCTCCAATGACTTTCCAAACTTTCTGGAACCAAGATTCCGACTCATGCAGCCCCGGCACGCTGAGGTAAATATGCCAGCGATGCCTACGAGATTTTTGTCTTGAAACAAATCTCCACGGTGCAGCCCACCGACGTGTACCTGCGATGGCAACTGGGTGGCAAAAGGATTCTCCCAATGTTTGAGATGGGTAGGGGTTAAGTTATTGCCACTGGATATACCAAGAATGACACGGCATCGCAAGGAGTCAATTTTTGACTATCAGTATGGTCGGGTACTGTACATCATAGCAATTCATAGCACATCTATTGAGGCGAACCGGGGGACCCATATTGTTTTGCTCACTTTGGCGATGGTTCACATGTGTTCACATTTGGTCTCCAGCCCATTTTTTCCTTTTCTGCCCATCATGATTATATAGCTTGCCAATGGAAAATCCCGGTGTGCAGATGAGATTTCATTTTGGAGTCCTGGATTGCGTAGCGACCTTTTCAAGATTGTGATCCTGATTTTTTTAAATCTGCAATAATCTGGGCCGTCCTTTCAAAAAAGATGAGGCTAGTTTTAGTTGCTATGTGTGTTTTTTTTTCTTTCGTGATGGGAGTTTGGGGTTTTCGAACCTGGAAGTACTTGCGGTGTCTTAAGGCACCCGCACTGATGCATTTGGGCCCAGAGTCCATGAGTTCTCAGGTACCGAGAGGCAGCCCTGAACACGCTCGACGGAAACGACGCAAAAGACGTTGCTTTCCAGCATCTGTGGCGAACAAGGGGGAGAGAGATGAAAAGGTCACATGGACAGAACGTGCCCTGATTTGAAATATACATGGAGGGCGGGATAACCAGATCCAATGCGCATGTAGTGTCGAATCATGTAAAATCTATGTCAGTGTTGTTTTCCGAATGTTTACCACTGTGTATCAGATCCATATATATATATATATTAAATGTTGGGCGGGCCTGCAGGAACCCCGCTTGTCCAGCTTGTCTGTACTATCCATTTGAAAAGTCTGTGTGTTTAAATGTGGGCGCCGTTTATTCCCTCTTGCCATGACTATCTAACTTTGAGTTCTCCAGCCCGCACATTTGGGTCATTCATGTTAGTTCTAACATTATCATTTTATATTCCTTTGGGTGCGTAATCAGCCTTTGGGTGGGTAATGGTGGGTAATCAAATGATTTTTCCCTATTGCCATAGTCATGCCCCTGTCATTCCCTATCCCGGTTGCATAGAGATATCCCAGTTGTTGTGCCATAGTTGTCCCTATCCAATCTATCCCAGCTTATTACATCTTATTACTGTATTGTCCAATTTTATCCATTTGTTGGTAGCTCTGGGTAGCTCATGAGCTTGCAGCGGTCATGGTATCCACATCCAATTTGTTGTGACATGCCTTGGATGAGCATTCCGGGTCCCAGGTAGCCAATGGTTGGTTCGGCTTCAGTTTGGCTCAAGTTCCCAGTTCCTAAAGTTCTCCCATCAATGGATCAGAATCCACGATTACATAGATTTGAAACGTATGACAGCCATACTTTTTGGTTTTGTGTTTTTGATCCGACGAATTTTCTTGGGCACTTCTTTTAGAGCCACCATGAGTTGTTGCGGGGAGTGCCTCTCCGGCAGGGGGACCCAATGCGAGGAGCAAAGGGGTTGCGAAGGATATCACTGGGATATGTGGGGATGTTAGACACCAAGATGGATTTGTAGCAAATAGGTAAATTGCATTAAAGTGAAACATTTCAAGTATCGCTGTGATTTTGGGTGATTTGCCAGTAGTTGGGAGCTAAGAAAAGAAACGTGGGTATGGAAGGAACACTAGGGGCAACAAGAACTCATGAACCAATAGTTGGTAGTGGGATGGATATCACTATATGGGTATCACCTATAATTGCAGGGTATCAACCCATTAAATTATTATATAAATTAGTATAATGAGACTGTGGTAGACATCCATTCGATATTCACAAACGTATTCCGTTGTGAAATTTGGCGGAAACCAATAATGTATGTTTGGGTTTTACATGGTTTTACTATGTTCTGCCCTAGTCTGATTCACGCCCACCCATCCCTTTTGATTGTTAGTTGCCCCCATAATTCATCCATATTGACACTGTGTTTCCCTTCGAGCATTGGCTGCATGGCTGCTTGCTCCACTTACTTCCTCTCATATTACACCAGAACTGGGTAAACCTTCGAAAACCCTTAATGGTTGGTGAATGGAGTATGTTGAACACATTTCAAAACCTGCCTTTATGGATCTTTATGGGGGATTCTCAAATCCCAGCGAGGCATCTTCGGCAAAAGTCATGCCTTGCGGCCTGACAGTGGGGTGCCCTGTGGGGTTATGCGGACCTTATGGGGGCTGCAAATTTCTGGGGATGTGTGGAAAATCCAACATTATCCAACCATTTCATACCATTTCTAGATGGTGGAAATCTTATGAAATCTTATGAAATCTTCACATGCACAGGATGATGAACTACAACATACTAGAACGGATTTAATTAGTTGGGATGAGATGAAACAACCAGCCAAGTGAGTAGTGACAAAGTGAATGGTCAATCCAAAAAGTACAAATTTGCCACACTTCAACTTTTACATCCCAGCTGCAGTAGTCGACTTTCTTGGAGATTTCCTTAACTTTGAAACATTTCAGCAAAGATATTGAAGCCCCTGTCACATGATTGCGCATGGTATGTCGTTTCAAATCTGTTTCGGACAAACTGTCTACCCTATATATTTATTATATGTTATTATATATAATGAAGTCATATTCCTAAAGCAGTTTCATCCTCATGCATAGATTGATAAATGATTGTAACTATGTATTCTTCATTATTACAAAAATATTTATATATATTATATGTATGATCTATTTTATATATAATATATACACTCAATTTCTCATAGATGTCCACACAGCATTCTTACGCTTCCGCGACTGGCAACAGGAAGCAGCCCCCAACAGCTGCACCAACCGTCGCCGAGGCTCTCCGCAGAAGTCGCCCTTGGTGAGCAACTACGACGAGGTTTCTTTCGATGCGCAATTTTATGACACGGTGGATCTTCCGATAGGGAGATGTCTATCCGATATTGTAGATACCCTCTGGTAATTTAACATAGCTATGGAAAATCACCATATTATATGGGAAAATCCACTATAAATGGGCAATTTTCAATAGCTATATGTTAAATTACCAGAGGGTAGGGAGAGAGAATGTTGTGATCTTTTCTGAACATTGGACCAAAAAAAGGGACATCAACGCACACAACTCACCAAGGATGGGAGAACAACACAGTATAACCAACAGAATTGGGGGTGTAATGGCAAGCAGCAAACAGCTTCCAGGCAATGAAGCTCCAGCGGCCCAAGCTGGGCTCGTGGGAGCCGGGAAGCTCTGGGAAACGCGCGGGCTGGGTATGACTGGGCGCCATTGGAAAACGTGGCCATCAAACAAGAATAAACCCAAAAAAGTAAAAATTGTTTTGAGATCAAATAAATCAAACAGCAAATTGGCTGATTTCGTGGAAGAGTGTCAGGTTAGCAACCCTCTAAGCCCTTCATCCTCCAACAACATACTACAACCCCAGAGAGTAGCACGTATTGGTGCATTTTGTCGCAGGGCCTGTAAAAACAGAGGTTGCTCCATTTCATCTGTCGATTTCACCTTACATCAATACTTCACCATGCATCTGCCACGGTATGTTCATCCATCCTGTCATGGGAATCCTGTCACATCATGGGTTTGTTTCGATTAATCCCAATCTTCATGGATTGTTCACAAACCCCAAGGGGTATTCTCTCATCATGGTGAAACTGACCCAGCAGATGGACTTTTCCCTCGCTGCTGAAACACATAGTGAGCTCAGGGCAACACCAGCTTCCTTCGATTGGGTCTGGAGCTCAGTGTCACCTGCAAAATGGGGATGGCTTTCCGGGGGGCTGTTCTTGTTGGGAGACCTCAAGATTGGGTTCACTTCGAGATGGGGCAAATTGGCAAATTGGCAAACATCAAAATCGGAGAGATGAAATATTATATCATATTATGGCATCTTCACATCAAAAGATAGAACTTTTTTTAGACTTGAAGACCATGGACGGAGCAGTGGCGAAGCTTGCAGAGTGGGAAAGCAATGAGTCAGAAAATCCTCCGACTGTTGGCGGGGGGGTGATTGATGATATTGATGCGCATCATACCAGAATACCAATGTTCAATTGCCACATTTTGGTGTGCATCCCGATGTTGATACAGGCGTCATCACTGCTGTGAATCCCCTCCAAAGTGATGTTTCTCAAGGAAAAGTACACTGTGATACCGTGTCACCCATACCTCATGTGGGGTATGGACATGTTCCAGTCAAAACTACAATCCTTTCAAAATTAACATTTTAATACCATACATGACCAATAATATCCAATAATTATAACAATCAATTATGCCAATGTGCGAATTCTATCCAATTCTTATAATTCTGTGGGTCCATTGATATACTCCATTGTTGTACGCATTTATAAAAAATACTACAAGACTCACTCCAATTCATACCATGTGGTCATCCGCACTGACCCATCCCTCAGGCCTCTCCAATCCCTCGACGACGGCCATCCGCACTGACGGCCTGGGGCAGATGGGGCAGGAATGTCCATCCAAAAAAGAAGAGATGCTGGCAATTTTAAGTGTTTAGTAACCTAGAAACAGAAAAAAGCCTCCATAAATAATGGGCCACTATTTGGGCCTATACCCAACTAGATGGAAACGGTTTGTGGCTATTTGTGGCTTGTATCAAGCTGGTTGCCTGGAAGCTTTTCAATGGAGGGACCAAGAACATCTGCAGCTTTTTGAGCGACCATCCTAGCGTCCTGAAAGGACCCAGTTTCTCCACAACAGACCCAGTGCAACAGTGCAACAGCCCTTCTTGGTACATATTCACTATTATAACCCATAGGATCCATGTATGGTATATATGCTAACATTGGGGGTATATTGATGGTAAATGTTACCATATATAGCATACATGGATCCTATGGGTTATGTATTAAATTATATGCGTTTCTCTGGACCCCCCAGTGAAATTTCACCATTTCACCATTTCCTTACTTTTCGATAGATTCTTTGCCTCCTATGTTTGGACCACCAAGCCTTGTTGGGAGGAAAACGGCGGCGGGCCAGTGGATTTTGACATGGTCATCGATGTGGATAAACGTTGCCGCATCCCAGCCGTTGGAAGGGTTGTAGTTGGGTGAAGTTGACATATTGCGTATGTATGTCTATATAATTAGGTGTATAAGTTATAGATATATTATTATATATTATTATAAATGATATATGTACATATCGCAACCCATTTGTTGTAAGCCATTCATGGCATGATTTGGACCGTTCATTCTCTCATTCATTTGGTGCTGCTTTAAGCCACTTCTGGTATTGACGCTCAAGATAATAATGCTACATTTCATCATTATTTGCATTGTATGTTCTATGTTATCTACCTATGATGACGTTTCTGAAATCCTATGTGCTTGGTGGCTGAAAACTTTAGGTAGATCCTTTTGCGATCAAATGGCCACAACTCTGTCCAACATCAGTCACTTTGACTTTGTTGATCTTTGTTGTGAAAATCTTCGTTGATCCAAAAACAGGATACCTCAAACTCCACAGGTTATCACAGGTTAATCATCATTTTCCCCATCCACTGGCCATGATAAGTGTGGTATCCGCTAAACCCCTGGGCCCCAGCCCGTGTTTGAACCAACGGTTGCCCGGGATTCTGTGCGCCGAGCCAAAGCTGGGCAGAACAAGGAGCCTCGTTGGGGAAGCCCAGTGACCAACCAGCAATGGATATAATATGGATATACTCTTGATATCATTATGGATATGATATGATATACCCTCTGGTAAACTAACATAGCTATTGAAAATGGCCATTTATAGATGGTTTACCTATTAAAAATGGTGATTTTCCATGGCTATGTTAAATAACCAGATGGTAATATGATATAGAATTTGAATATCACCAAAAACCACTGATGTAATTTGAACATCACCTAAATGCCATGAAAGGATTCCTTGGATCCCATGGTTTGATTCCAATCCAATCGTAGCACTTGGGACCCCACCTTTCAATGGTGTTTAATTGGTGTTTACCCGGCCTGGTAAACATACAAAAAACTATGGAAAATCACCATTTTTAACATAACTATGGAAAGATCCACCATTTTTAATGGGAAAATCCACTATAAATTGGGTTTTGGGTTGAAATGCGGTGAATGTTAACCATTGTTAACCATCCCTAGTACGCAAAAAGAGGAGGAAGCTGATAGGTTCTCAATGACCAGCGATGGAAACAGGTCTCCAGACCATAGACACCGACATTCCCAGCAGCGGGGGGACCCAGCAATTTTCGAAGACACCCTTTGGGATATGGGGAGTTGGTGATACCCGATCGCTGTCGCCTAGTCCATGGGAAACCCCACCATTCTGCTGGTTGAAGGGAGCCTCGGTTGTTTACTTCCTGGACCAAACATGACAACAACGAATTTGAGTTCAAGATTGCACGGCCCAAACGCATATGCCAGTAATTGGATGTACTGGGACATAGCATAATTCAATGACATATCAATATCAACATCATGTTCCTTCAGTGTCCCATGTTCCTTTGTTCCGCCGGCAGATCGCGTGGGCCAGACAGAACGAAGACGGAGCAGGTGCGCTGTATCAGTAACGAGCGGGCTGGCGGAGGTCCCAAGCAATCTCCAAAATGCAGCTGTGGTTCTCAGTGCATAGATCTGGGGCCCGCATATTTTGGTCAGTAGGGCCCTAAATCATCCTAAACCAGCCTAAACCAGCTAAGTCCATCCAACTATGGGATTTTGTGGGTTATATTAGGTTAATCACTATGAGAATAAGTTCGTAACATGTGCCCTTTTTGCTGAGGGGTACACTGGCCACAGGTTTGAAGCAGAGATGTTGCTGGCCTCTCCGGGTAGACTTCCTCCACCACTTACTGCGGATCAGAGGGAGGACTGATGGGAGCTTTGGAGATACAGCTGATATGGGTGCAGATCTGAAAATGGAGTATAACATGTATAATGATAAATATATATATATATAGAAATATATATATATATATAGTATATGTATATATATATATATACATATACATATACATATATATATATATACACATATACATCTACATATACATATATGTATATATATATATATTATTATTATTATATATAATAATATAAATGTATATATATATTATATTATAATAAAGATATAATATAATATAGATATAATATAATATAATAATATTATCTATACTATATCTATACACACATGTATATGCCTCCACAGATATGTACGCCCAAATGACAATTTCAATAGTGACCATGAGGATAAAGCATGGGATTTGAGGGCGCCGTAATTTCTGTTACATGGAAATGTTATGAAATGTTATGATCAATGATGCTGTTTTGTTGCTTCTACTGGTTGGTTCTACTGGGAATCACCGAGTCATAAAATCTACTACAAGTGACAAAACAATACAATCTCATACAACCTCTGCATATATATATATATATGCAATATATGTCCTGCGTGTGTAGGAAATATGGTGATCCATTCTGGAAAGTCTTATGAGCGATCCATTCTTGGCCTTGTTGCTTTTCACAAGAATGTGATTGGACCGACATGCAGCGCAACGTGAGGGATCCCTCACAAAAGGGAAACATGGGTGCGTCGCAAAATTGGGACCTGAAAGGTATGGGTATAGTCTTCCCCACTTGCTAAGCAGACCTACCACAATTCATGGTGAATAATCCAGGTCTAAACCTTTTCTCCCGCAGGTGTCATTTGTTGATCCAATGTTGATCCAGAGCCGTTTGCTTGTTGCTCATCTGGCCATACCCTCATGGACGACACTTAGTTCCAATCAGCAAAATCACCAGGTACCAAAGCCCCCTTTTTTTGGGTGCTTTGAACTTGCATGAGTCCTCTCATGATTTCCGGTGAGATTCCCGTGAATCGCCACCATGAAATACCACCAGGGCAATCATGGGTGAAATCCAAAAACCGGTGGTTTTTTGTCATCAGTGACATGGCACGCTGAGATTCCCAGGAAGCCATCCGGACCTTGCTTCCCACTGCCACCTTCCAGATGTTGGCAAAGGTCACCACCGGCATGGGATGATAAAAAAAACCACGAGTTGAGTGACTGGTGGAAATGGTGGAAATCCATGTTCGCCATGGAGTTAGCTATTTGTAGGTCAATGATGGAAAATTCTGATTTTATATTATATTATAATATGATATAATATGTATATATATATATAGTATGAGTCCCCAGGGCATTAAAAAAACTATTTGACACTACATCACACTGCTTTGCAGATCTACGAAATGATCAGGATTCTCATCCAAGAAGTTTTTTTTTTTTCGCTCGCAAACAACTCACCATACATGGTGACCAGGATTGGGGTAACCGTCACGAAAAAAAATGTGGTTGGTGGTTTCACACAATGTGTATTTTCCATAATATATGGGATAATCATCCCAATTGACTAATATTTTTCAGAGGGGTTAAAACCACCAACCAGAAATGTGTGTGAAAAACTCATCAATGACGTTCTCCAAAAATGAAATTTATATCCCAACACTTACCCACCATTACCATTGGATGAAAAACATGTACGCCCCAACCCGGACGTTGCTCCACACTTACAATCGTCATGATCATTATCATCATCATCATCATCATCATCATCATCACCATCATCACATCATCATCACATCATGATCATCAATCATCACATTGAAATTCGCCACCCCCTCTGAACAATATGTTGAATGGGGTAATAACATCAACTTTATCTTCATAAGGGATGAAAATTTGCCACCCCCTATGAACAATATGTTGATTGGGGTAATAACATCAACCTTATCTTCATAGCCACCTGAAGTCAGACGCGGTGCAACGCCAGGGTTGCAGCGTACATGTTTGTATAAATGGATGATCATGGATGATCATGGATGCCATGATCGGAATCTAGGGCAAGCCCCAGGGTTGCCCCTCTCCATGGCATCCGGCGCCCGACCAGGTGCCGAAGAATCTGTTGACTGCCACCAATGAGTCGGCGAAGCAGCTGCGAAGGCGTGGATTCTCGGATGGAAAGTGGAGGTTTAGCATAGGTTAGCAGGAAATCACATGAAATCACATGAATTAAACTTATGAACAAAGATCTTTGGAGATGGGTATTTCAATGTTTGAATAGTGATTCGGTGACGTCCTCAGCTATATTTTCTGCGAGTTTTAACACATTGGAGATGATGTTTTCGACAAAAAAAATCGGAGATCCAAATGGCAATTTGAGACGAGCTGCGGCGGCAATTTATACATTGCATTAAAAGACGTCATGATAAGACAGATCCTGTTAATGAGACTATTGACAATCTTAAGATTACAGATCTTAACCAGATATAACCAGACTTCATATGCACAATGATAATGATATGTAGTGTATATCCAATATATACTCTGTAGTTATTCTTGTAAGGAATATGATATGCACTGCACCCCGCCACTGAACTGATATTTGATGTGTGGCATGAGTTGAAGCCGCCAAGCAACAGCTTAGATCTGGTGCTGTAGGCAGATGATGAAAGGCGCCACGGT